TCTAGACCATTGCTTAGCATTCGGGAGGACGCCGGTTCGATTCCGGGTCCGTCTGCCTTGGTCCAAGTTTTTCTGTGGTTTCCTTGGACCACTTAGGCAAATGCTGAGGCAGTAATATTCCACAGATAATCTTTCATTCTCTTCTGTCTTCATTTCGTCCGTCTCATCTTTCTCACCCGAACCACCCATTCCCACGATTCCTGAAAACATGCTGAAGCAGCATTACTGGCTGGTGGGAATGAAACACCCAAAAGTTTTCTAGCTTTAGGGAAATGCGAAGATTAGCGCAGGATAAGAAAGAGTGGAGGTGCGTGTCCAACCTGTCTTAGGGCTGACGACCTTATGATGATGATGATTTTACTTTATATCTTGTCATATCCTTTTAAATCCGAAAAGTGTACCTACACAGAACATCCCTTTTTGGCTTTTCCCTCCAGTTTTCATTTTCCATATTAGTTGTTGCATTCGTTGACTGATTAGCAGATAAAGCTTGAATTACCTGACAAATAAGAGAAAACTTATAGTTTTTCATCCTATCTGTAAAAAGGGCAGATAAGTTTGTTTTGTTAAGTTACTTAACATTTAATTATTTATCGTCATAAAGGACAATATCGCTAAATAATTTCCTTATTATTATCCTCAATATTTTAGTAAAACATGACTAAATATTAGCAAAAGAATTATTATTGTTCCTTCTCCTACTAGATATTTAAGTAAACAATTAGAAAATAGATTTATGAAATTATGAAATGCCTTTGTTGTAATGATTTTATTGTCTTGTTCTAGTCGGGATACATGGAGTAGTTATGAGTACTATTACGATTGCAACAAGCAGCAAAGCGTAGAAAGCGACGAGGGGAAATACCAATTTAAGACAAACTCCACAGACGTTAATGTAAGCAAAGGTAAGACACAAAACGGCTATGCACATTTTACAGATAAAAGATGCACATATCACAATGAGTGTGTGAAATGTCATAATGCCTATCGATTTAGTGTTTAGAGGACTAGTCCTTCGTATTGCCAGAGTAATCTTAGTCTTGGTTTTGGAAAAATGCAATGACCAAGTCCAAGGACCATTTTACTTATCACTATTGACAAATTAAAGACCTTCTTCTACTATTTCCTATTTAGTTAACAAGAAAGATATTATTTTGCCCTTATTATTAGAACCTGTAATTTGCATTACCAGACACGTTTTGCATTAGCAATAAGTATTTTTGAATAATTTCATTTGCAAATTTACGCCTTTCTAAATAGTAAATGAAGAATGAACCTTACTACCTATTTAAGAACGTCGAGGATTTTGCTTCTCTTCAAAAGGTTGTTGAATGTAACAGTTTTGAAATAATAATTCTGTGGTTTGGCGTATTAAAATAAACAGTATGTAACGAATGTAAATTTGGTATATTCCCAAGACAAACATTTTCAGTCTCTCTCCAGTCTCTCAGAGTCTGTCTGAGTCTCTGCGAACGTCTCTCACAGTCTTTCACAGTCTCTCAGTTATTGCCTAGGTGTTTTTATGGATTTGTCACAGTCTCTGTATGAGAGACTCGAACGATAAAATTGTTAATTCGGAGATTCGAGTCTCTCACAGAGAGACTGAATGAATAAAACTGAAAAATTGAGAGACTCGCGTCTTGTAGAAATACTGGGATCTCTGAAGTATGTTGAACTTAGAAAATTTTAACCAAGGCTATGGAGACACCACTTATTGAGAAATTCGAATCTCTCGTTCAGAGACTGGATATGAAATGAGGATCTCTCTATGAGCGACTCGAGTCTCTCGTTCAGAGACGCTAAACAGTTTTTTGACAGTTTCTCTCCGCGACACCAGAGAGACTCGATGAGAGATGGAGACTCGAGTTTCGCTTTCAGAGATTCTGAGAGACTGAACGTTTTTTTTTTTTGGATTCTTATTGGTTTGGTTAATAGTAAAAAGAAAATTTTGGAAAATATATGTACAATTATGTTTTACCTTTCTGGCACGGAATTCAGAAATACTAAAGACAAACTGAAAACAGAGATTAATTTTTTCAGATTTTGTTATCGTTTCAAAGCTGAAAATTGGTTTCTAGTAAAACGGTCCAAAAAATAAAATTGATTGACTTTATTAATCAATTAACATTTTTAAATCCATATTAATGATGCAGCGCTATACATAATTGGTAATAATAATGACGTTAGCTATTCTATTGCAGGAGGGCGAAGGCCAAGTTTAGAAAGACAATCGACGCTTTACGAAGAACCCTTCTATAGTGATGCCAGTTATTATCCAAAAACTAATAACAACCAAATAGTATCGTTTGTGGAGACAGGGTAGGTACATATATGTATATATTCATGCGTTAAAGACGCATAGTACTTATGTGGGGCCATATTTTGGCTCCGAAATACATAAAAACAGTAGTTTACAAATGACTTTTACAAATAGCTTTTTATTTAGAAGTTAATAAAATATAAACTTCATAAAAAGAGTAACTAGAACTTCAAAACAATACACGAGGTAGTAGATTTTCGAAGTTATAATTGGTGTGCATTTACGTATTCTACATTTTCGAAGAGGGTTAATTGTTATAATAATTATATTATTTATTATTATTAAGTCCGGAAGCTACAAGTATTAATTCGAGTTTTTCTTCAGACATTTCAAATAAATCGTTTTTTTTTTTTTGTAGGCAGTAATTGAATACAAAGGACATGAAAAATAATTCTCTACTTCTTTTGCTGTTTTGGAAAATTATCGTAATGGACTTTTTAAGAACCTTCCTGGGCCATTAATCAAATTTTATTATTCAGTTTGAATTCGCTTTTTATTTATTTTCCATTCATTCCTTCTGATAATCAATTTTCGTTTGTGGTAAAAGACAAAATTAAAACCGCAAATTGCTTATTCGGTTGCCTTTCAATGATTTCTACTTCAAACGGTTCAAAGGTCATACGCCTACACTTTTGAGGTCTTGAACCCTTTTCGTTCAATAAAAGATTAAGCTGTTACCTTCATTATGTTGTCAAAAAGCCGTCGAACCCACAACGTCTGGAAAATTACTTATTATTTTTAAAGAATACAGTTACTTCAAATTAGTTCAGTGGACAGACAACATGACATGGAGACATTTAATATAATCATATATATTATTACAATAACAACTAAAATGTATTTCCCCTGTTCAGCAGAAACCACGTAGTTAATGAATTTGGCATCGTTTTGTAAATCTTTGTTATTGTCTTAAACAATTTTAATTACAATAGTTCAATATCAAACTACTTTTTTATTAATTTTTTATGTTAATATTGAATTTCCTAATTATGTTGTTAACTAAGTAATATTATTAGAAGCCCACAGAGGCTATTTCAAAAGTACCCCGAGCGCCTTAGAACTACAGTAACTTCAGCCATAGATGTCGCATCGTGTACTTACGGGACAGAATGAATAATTATTACTACTGTAAATCTGGGATAGTGTTGATGTGTTAAATAAATAGGTGTCAAAAGTCGTACAACAGTGATGAACAATGTAAATTAAATAAGTTGTCGATTTTTGAAGGAATTAAAGAAGAAAAAAAATAATGTGCGATTTATTTTCAGAAATATGTCGTTCAACAGCTCCTACGAAGAATATTACGATGCCTCATCTCAGCTGTTTCAGGACGAAAGACACGGTCCAGAAGATGAAGACCGTCAATGGGATTCTGGAGGATTTCCTCCCCGCAAATCGACCACATTCTCAAAGAAATTACCAGAAGTGCCAACAATTTACAATCGTTCAAGTACCAAATTTAGGGATGGATTCCCCAACGCCCATCCGTACACCAGGCCGAAAGGTAGAAGAAAAATGCCAGAAATACCAACAAGACGTTGCAATAGCAAACAGAGTACCATCAATGATTATAGTGGTTTTGGAGAGCAAGGATATTCGACAAGGAGAGGGGCAAGTTTACCTCCGACCCCTACTAAGGCCCCCAAGCTCCTTCCTCGGATTGAAAATGGTACAAAACCGTTCAACAGTTTACCAGGAACACCTGGCAGGAAACTGCCCCAACCTAATCTTAAAAATCGCAGGACAAGGCTGCAAACGAAAAGTTCTTCCGTGGATAATTACTATGAAGACGGTTACTACGACGACAATACAATAATAAAGATTGATACGGTCGAATCGAAGGAACCTGTCTACAATGAGGATTACAATTACGCATATCAGAGTATGGACAATCTCCCTGATCAACAGCAGGGGGTGACATTGACTGAGTATTATGAGAATGAGACTGATACCAAGAAGTTCGGCGGTTACGTTGAAGACGTTCAACCTGCTGTTAATTACGGCCAGAGTAATTACGACACGACTAATTCGAGAGACTATTATGAAGACACGTACGGTTATGGAAAGGGAGTGAAAACTGCACAGTATCAAGAGGATTCAGTATACCAGAACGAAGTGGAAACGATAGCTTCTTCGCACGAAAAGCCTGTCTCAAACGCCTATACATTTACACCTATACGAACAGAAGGTATTTATCCTCAATTTAGACATTTTTTTTTACAAGTGAGTTAGTTTAATATGAAATATTAATCTGAAAATTCATTTTTGAATTTTTTACCCACTACACGTTACCTCAAATTAATGAGGGGAAAATTGTTGCTGTTGTCGCACCCCCGCCGGGAATCGAACCCGGGACCTTTGGCTTTACGCACCAATGTTCTGACCACTAAACTACGAGAGGTGACAACAGTAACAACGACCAACCGACCTATACGGCTAACGTCGAACTAATGTAACTATATATACTGAATATACTATGATTAAACATACATATATTTCATATTAAACTAACTCACTTCTAAAAAATTGTCTAAATTGTATGCATGTTATAATATTTATATATTTTTTAAAATAAAAGTGTACTTGGTTTGAATTTACCAAATTGTATAGTCTTCATCGAAAATGTCTCATGGTTTGGGTGGGCAGATGTTTTTAGGAAGGTTTTGTTATGTGTAATATCAATTCTACTGGTAGATTAGTTTAGATTTCAAATCGTGCTAACAGCAAGCAACGTCAATTACTTATATATGCCACGAGCACGCCAAAATGAACAAAAGAAATCTTTTTCAGGTAATGACTTTTACACGGACGTGAAAACAACAAAAACCCCTCTGATAACGACCACCAGTTCTGTAAATACCACTGGCTTGTCCAGCACGTCGCAATATCCATGGGACCAATCGTACCAAACCGAAGCAATAGTTTCCACGCCTGAAAAAAGCATAGGCTCAAGACTGAGCAATTTCATTCATCCACAGCCCACTTCGTACCATCATACCACGGCAGCAGCCACCGTGTCCAGCGTCGCTCCTACATACACGACAACCTCCTACAGCACGCCTTCCGCAGTCTCCACAGTTTCCGATTACGTCACCGTTACAGCCACCAACGTTCCAACGTCTCATCATCAGACAAGAGGAATGCTAAAGCAGCAACAATCCATAGATTCCACGTACCAGCAGGATGATTATGATAAACAAGACAGGCAAGAATCTATCGAGAGTTACGAGGAGACAGAGGAAGATTTGGAAACGAAGGAGTTGCACCAGGACGAGTATCTTCCGGAATACCAGCAGCAGCAGCAACAACGGCAAGCAATAATGGCGAAGGAATCCCAATCTCCCGCGTCTGTGATATATAACGAAGATGACGAGCAGAGTCTTCGGAGGGGTTCTTCGCAGATAACAGTCGTCGATCCGTATCATATTTTGAGCCAGAGGGCTGCCGCTGATTCTCTAGTTACGAATTCGCGTAGATCGTCAGCAGATCCGCGATTTGCCGAAAAAGCTCAGCCCGTTGTTGATAAGTATCCGCAGGACGGTGCGGCGGCGTCCATCGATGACCAGTTCGGGGTCGACGCGAACCGAACGGCAACATCTTCGCTTGAAGCTGTGTATCCGACTGACTTAACGCGACGCGCGTCGGTAAGACAGTCGCCCGCGATGAACGTGACCGAACCGAAGGACATTATCGAGAACGAGGTCGTACACGAAGAAGAACTCGACCATTTCGAGGAACATCACGAGGAACCCGAACCTGCACGACCGAAGGTTACGGCGCAGCAGAGGTGGCTTTGGGCGTACAACAAAATCATCATGCAACTCAATGTAAGTAATTTACGTTCTAATATTATGAATGCAAATGTTTGTTTTTGTTGGCTTTTCACGCCTTAAGTACTCAACCAATCATCATGAAATTTTGGGGGTACAGAGAAGGACATAGGGTACCTTTTATCCAGAAAAGGAAATGCTGTTCCCGATGGAAAGGAAAAATTAGTTTTATGTGGTCGATTTCACTTTTGCTATTGAGATGATGAAATTTGACGATTGATTTTCAAGTTGCATTTCTTTTTTTATTATAAAAACGGTGAGCAAGATACCGTAAATATTCGTTCAAAAAAAGGTAAGGTATGTAATTTTGTTAACAAACAGCAACACTAAAAATAAATGCAAAAGCCATTTAGTATTACTTGAGTTTTTTAAAAACCGTAACCTTAGATCTTTTCTGAGAATATAAAGAAAATTTTTGGTCTCTTAACTTTTTATAAATTTGGATGATTCAATGCGTTTTGAAATTGATATAAGGGAGGTATATTTTACAGAAATTTGCAACAGTTTCTTTGAGAAACAAAAGGAGAAGTTCTTTTGCGACTTTTTAGAATAAAAATTGTTTCTGAAATTATCAGATAGTATAAAAGTAGTTCTACCACAAGTTTCACCTGGTATACCGAAAGCTCGTTGTGATACATATCTGACAGGCGATCAATATGTTCTCAGTCGCCATCTAACGGCCAGCTTTGAAGCACTAGTTTGCTTTTGGAAAATTCTGTTGGAAAATCGTTTTCTTATTACAGTACAGATTTAGTTCCTTTCAGAACCAATAGTAGATACAGTTTTCTGAATAAGGAAACGTAAGAGTACCTATATGGTATGTTACAAAACCGCTGATTATTATTTAGGACAAAATTAAAGCATAAATGAAGTTATTGTAAATAGAAATTTAACAGACAAAATAAGAAAATCTTGACAATAGTTGAAATACCCATCTCTACTAAGCAGTTAACAATTTTTCATATTGAAGTACGTTTCTGTAAATGTATCAGAATGAAAAACTTGAATTTGAAGTTCAGATATTCAACAGATGTACTGCGGTGCTATTGACATTTAGGAAAATTTATCAATTGTTTTATTTCTCATTTTTCATATTATTCAACCTGCTTCTTAAATAGCACACCAAGTGCGTGTGTGCGCGCGTGTGTGTGTGTGTGTGTGTGTAAGTAAGTAAGTAAGTAAGTAGGTAAGTAAGTAAGTGAGTGAGTGAGTGAGTGAGTAAGTAAGTAAGTGTAAGTGTAAGTGTAAGTGTGTGTGTCATTTTTTCTTTGCCTGTTTTATTCATTCTTATATAAATGTCTTATTGTTCACGAAAGTTCTAATGAAACCTTAATCGGAAGAAGAGAATTGAATTTTGTAAGTAAAGACCCGCTTGCATGCTTTAAATAAATTAACATACAATTTATATAGATGGCATGTCTGAAGCGAATCTGAAATATAAAGAACTTTTAAAAATGTATCTACATATCACTTAACATAATCCCCGCTTACTTAACATGCAATATATCCATCGGTTAGAAACTGGTTAAAAATCCCTTCACCGAATATAAAAGAATAATACTTGCTAATACTCAATTATCATAAACTTATAGGTAACTCTTAAACGAAATAAGATACCTATCTACTTGAAATTTATAAAAAGTGGAAAATATATAGCAATTGTGTGCTTCTCCTTTCGACTTAAAATAATGCTTTGGGAGGGACACTATCTAAGCACCATGTTACAGTTAAAACCAGTTTCTATAGTAGATAGGACACATTTTCTCTGGTTTATACAAAACGAATTAGTTACAAGAAGAATTTGTTATTACCAGAATTGAGTACAGTACAGGGTATCCCTTTTTCGGTATTTTTGCGGGGTATCTCCCTTATTTTTACACATGGAGTATTATCAAAATTTTCTAGAGATACTGTGCTGTTCGTCAAGAGTAAAAGCGCCCACCTACGAGGTTTCGTTTCGGTGTTATGGCTGTCGGAAATTTTTGCCAAGTGTTATTTTCGAAATCGAGGATTAAATGTTTATGAGATCATATCTGGCAAACTATTAAAGATAGCGCAAAACAAATTTAAAAATTTTTCAAAATTTTGAATTTTTCATCAACATGGAATGCGGCCGCATACGGCTCATTTCGTTCGCGCTGAGACGGGGCATCCGCCTATGAAAGAATTTTTTCGATAGGTCCCACCGTTTTCCAGCTACAGCTCGCGAAATGTCAAACTTAGGAGTTGTGCGCTCGCGAACATGACCGCGGTTAAAAATCCATAGCTCCGCAGATGTACGTACGATCTCTACCAAGCAGGGCTCGTTTAAAGCCCAATAATTGTATGACTTTTTTTGCGAACATTGGAAAGTGTCTGACAGATATTATTATTAATGTTTAACAATATTCTGTGATACATTAAGTAAAAATCATCATTCAGAGTTAAATTATGTCTGTTAATTCATCGGTTTTGCTCACAAAATACACAGATAAATAAATTGAGATGTCATTACGGGAATGCGAAATAGATTGTTAAACGTTCGGGATGATTAAAAACGAAGGTCAAATGTTACGATGATCGTTTTCGGTGTGTGTTAGAAAGAAGGCATAAAGCAGCGGGCGCTTGGAACCTGGTAGCTTTTAAAAGCTAACGACATGTATCCCGCTGTGATAAGAGGAACAGGGTTTTCAACCGCAGCGGTTCCATCGCTGCCCGCAGAGCTTTTCGTAATTACCGTATTACATTACAGTAATGTAATTTTCTTAAAGCGATTCACTTCTCTTAACGCGTATGCACGCGAATGCAAATTTTTAAAATTATTTGGATGATAAGTTAGAAGAGAAGTTTGTGACGTTTCTTTGGAGTTCTTATGATTGTGATGGAATTCCAAAATTAATTTCTGTGTAATTACCATTTATGTTGATTTTTAGCTCTATTCCAACGTTGTTTTGTGAAGACCCAAAAGACAGACGGTTCAGATTAAAAGGAACCTCTACGTATTCAATTGTTTCCACTTTTACTTGACAAAAATTCCTGATATCAAATAATGTACTATTGGAAATACGTGACGATTGTTTCGCCAATCATTGACTTCGTCAGTTGTTGTATTTACTGCTAATATTACTATGGCAATTAGAGGTTTAATTACGGGTACGTAGTGAGAAAAAGTTAAACTAAATTTAAATATATGTTGAACGAATGCTTGATCTTTACGTGTTTTCGTGTATTTATTTTTCTACCTGCTTCTCCACCGATCAGCTGGAAATTCAGAAAATTTCATCTCGCTAAACTAAACTTAGCAGTGTAGACCCGAGATAAAAATGTGCAGTCTCCCAGAGTCTCTGAAAGCGAGACTCGAGTCTCCGTCTCTCATCGAGTCTCTCTGGTATATCCTCATTTCGTATCCAGTCTCTGAACGAGAGACTCGAATCTCTGAACGAGAGACTCGAGTCGCTCATTGAGAGATCCTCATTTCGTATCCAGTCTCTGAACGAGAGACTCGAATCTCTGAACGGGAGACTCGAATCTCTAAATAAGTGGTGTCTCGGTAGACATGGTTAAAATCCGTATCCGTATCCCAGTCTTTCTACGAGAGACTCGAGTCTTTCAATAATTTTTCAGTTTTATTCATTCAGACTCTCTGTGAGAGACTCGAATCTCTGAATTAACAATTTTGTCGTTCGAGTTTCTCATACGAAGACTGTGAGAGATTGTGAGAGACGCTCTCAGAGACGCTGAAAGACTGAGACACTGGAGAAAGACTGAAAATATTTGTCTAGGGGAGTTATTCTTTTATTCTTTTTATTATTAAATAAAGTGTCTAATATTTTTTAGTGTCTTTTGGTGTATATTATACCAAGAAAACACTAACAACGAAAACACAACTAACAGAAGGGCACAAGGAGTGAAACAAACAACCGAGAACAAAGTAACAGAAAGAACAAGATAATACAACAATAACAATAACAATAACAAAGACAACAAAAAAGAAAACAATGTAGCGAATAGCAATAGAATAATAGAAGCACTTACGAAAGGTGGTAGTAGCGGTAGACGAGAGACTGTGTAAAGATAAAAACATTTGGGTGTTTCATTCCCACCAGCTAGTAATGCCAGTGGGCGGGCAATCCCTCCGGACTATGCCGGAAGGTAGGGCGGAAGGCCCTCTTCAGCCTGCTTTCAGGAATCGTGGGAATGGGTGGGTGGTGGTTCGGGTGAGAAAGTTGAGACGGACGAAATGAAGACAGAAGAGAATGAAAGATTATCTGTGGAATATTACTGCCTCAGCATTTGCCTAAGTGATCCAAGGAAACCACAGAAAAACTTGGACCAAGGCAGACGGACCCGGAATCGAACCGGCGTCCTCCCGAATGCTAAGCAATGGTCTAGACCTCTAGGCCATGCCGCTCGGTTAGGGCCTCTTCAGCCGTATGTGTTTGTGTATATAGGTATGAATTTTTGGGCGTATTTATAGGACAGGGTTGTTAGTAAATTTGATAGAATGTTCTAGAAGGAAAAGTAGTGAGAGAGAGGGTGAAGACACTAGTTTCTAGGAATACACAGAATTAGATAGTACAGAATTCAAGAGAAAGCAATTAAGGGTAAAACCAGATATTAGTATGGGAGCGCATGCAGGTATGGTTGAAGTTGGAATTCTGGGTAAAAGTGATTGAGAGAACAATAGAGTTTAGATTGAAAGGAAACCAAAGTATTTACAAGATAAGAAATTGAAATGAAATAATATTTGAAATGAAATGAATTTGAAGTAAAATAATGAAAAAGAATGCTTAAGAAATATCTACAAAAAATATATACAATTTTCCGCCACAATTTCATATTTATTTGTCTTTAAATTACTCCCACATACAACAATCAATTACTCAGCTTCTTTTTCAAGCATTAGATGTTTCTGAATACTTATCTACATCGCGGGAACTAAAATAGCTTCAAGATTCATCAGTCAGGGTGAGCCAATAGAGTAATTGATTTTTCACCTCATCCTGAATAAGATAAAAGTTTTCAATGCCACTTGCTCTCAATCTCTACAGGATTGTTGAGACATGCCACAACCCAAAAGCTACTGCATTAGTTTTAAAATGTTGGAAGTAATTTTTCAATTTTTTCTCGCTTGCAATGTGCTTAGTAATGAGTTCAGGGGTGTATTAGTGACAGTTAATTGACCAAGCGTTATTTCTTGTCGAGTTCCTTTGCTCTGAAAACCACTCGCTAACAAGGTTAGCCCACAGCTGAGCGGATAGCCAATAGAAGTGGGGTCTGCCGCTACTGATATAATAATAACGTTTCAAAACACTGTTTCTCAATCAACTTCGTTGTTCCACATGTGGACGTGTCGTCATGTTTTTCCGGAGACCGCGGAGATACGCACTACAATTTTCCATTTTCTTAATAAACTTGGAAAATTTCTAACATTATTGCTAGTTGGTGCGACATCTAGATTACTGCGCGTGTGTTATAATATTGTTAAAAAATAACCGTTAGTGATGTGGTTTAATAGAAAATAGTGAATAATACCAGGTCGCCGGTAAATTACTCTAAGATTTAAGAAGTTGCGCATTGCATTGTTCTCTAACAAAGGTTACGTTGGAGGAAAGTCTAAATTTTATAAGAAATATGTTTGTTATCATTACAAAGAATGTTGCTGTTATTATAAATTGCTTGTAACACTATAGGTTTCCCATTTCTAATACTATTTAGATTTATTTTTTGAAAGAAAACGGTTCTTGAATATTTTGCTAAAATTCATAATGACGGAATTTGTTAAATTAAAAGGAGCTAAGTACTTCAAAACGGTTCTAAAGAGTAAAAAATAGTTTTTTTTGTAAATAAAACTTATATTGTAGGACATTTTAAACTTTTTAGAATAGCTGATTTGTTTCAAGCGGAGGTATTAGGTATTTATTATATTTACTATCCTAATGTGATGGTTTAGAACGTTTACAGTTCATTTTAATCGTTATCTCTAATGCCTTTTTTCTGCTAACCGTACAGGTACATTTTACATTCAAAATGTGTTTATACATTTTTCATCATCTACTAGAAGTCATTTCTATGCTCGCGAATGGTTAATTTAGAAATTCGAAAAAGATTGTAAAATGTTTGGAGTGCGGCGTTGTACGGGTGCGAAACATGGACAGTGGGCGCGGCGGAAAAGAAAAGGTTAGAAGCTTCGAAATGTGGTGTTATAGGCAAATGATGAGAATAACGTGGGTAGAAAAGGTTAGAAATGAAGAGGTATTGGAAAGAAAAGGAGAACAGAGGACTCTACGGAAGTCAATAAAAAAATAGGCGAGATAGGTTGGTAGGACACCTTCTTAGGCATGAAGGTCTAGTCAGAGACATATTAGAGGCAGAAACAGGAGTTAGGAGGGGTAGAGGTAGACCTAGGTTGGATTACTGTTCGCAAATAGTTGAGCATATGGGTTGCTCTAGGTTTAGGGAAATGCAAAGATTAGCTCAGGAAGAGTGGAGGTACGTGTCCAACCAGTCTTAGGACTGACGACCTTATGATGATGACTGGAAGATAATGATTCAGAAGTTCTTCTGATATGATTAGATATTTCTTGGCTAACTAGTGGGAATTCTAGTAAACTATTGATTTCAACTACTTCCATTTCTATTGTACTTATTGTTAGTATTTCAGTCATAATTGTTAAATTGGTTGGCTACTTTTATTTCCCTCAGATTATTTATTGATAACATTTTCAAATCGGTTACCATGCACGTATTTCCTGTTTAGAAATGAATTTGTTATGCATGGGGTGTATTACAATCGGTTAATTTTCACAAATTAAGCATAAATAGGCTTTATCTAAAGTACCTTGGCGGCAGGTGATAAAACTAACATTGACCCATATGCGCCATTTAGTTTGTACATGCGATACCATTTGGTGACATTGACACCAAATGGACGAGGCGAAAGCAAATACATGTAGGTCCAGGGCTAATCTGGCCTTCACCAAGGACTTATTGTTAAATAGAAAAATGACTATTAGATGCAAAGTTAAGAAAAGTAAAGTATATCAAATTATAATGATTAATAAAAGCTAGGGATTTAATAAAACGTCTTCAACAAATAATGAAATCAACTCTCTAACGTAAATTTGTTTTTTATTGAATAATAATACTACTTCAAACAAATTTTTATGTAACAGTAAAAAAGTTTTTTTTTAATAATAATTCTTTCTTAAATAATTAATGAAAATTGAAAACTCAACAAAAGTTTAATTTAAAAATGTATTTCGCATTTAGCATTTGAAATTCAAAAAGGAAAACTATTTTATATTTTAGAATTAGAAATAGGAAAACAAAAACAAAAAAGGAATTTGCATTTTGTATTCAAATACTTTGAATAGACCCACACCTGTACATGCATACATACTACTTAAAGAATCATAGAACAAAACTGCTAAAGACAATCTAAAGTACTATGATTATTATCATCGTTGAAATGGCATGATTTTCCTTCATACACTTAAGCCCTGCATCCATTAGATTAGATAAGTATAACTGAAATGTCTCAATTAATTTGCATTTGCATCTTATCTTAGCTGGATTTTTACGTCTTTGTCCTATATAACATTATTAACAATGGCATAAAGGTTCTCCTGTTTCCCATTCACAAGAAGAAAATGTAATAAACGTTTTGGCTGATTCCGCATGGAAAATTCTTTAAAAATAAATAAAAAGCCATTTCTGTCGCCTTCGCAATCACAATAGACAGCTTAGTAATGGTCTCTTCTTATCACCATAGCAAACGCTCGCAAACACAAGAAAATAACCGGGTAATAATGGGCATCGTCATTTGTATTGTGTGCCATTTTATTTTCCATTTATGGACTAAAAGGAATAGCTTCCTTCAGTAATCAGCAAAGCTACGTGTAGGTAATTTTGGCACTCTATCATATCAGTGTTGGTAATATTAACAAAGTAAGGCAATTTGTACATTATAATGTGTTAATTATAATACCTATTCTCCTCAATGGACGGTGAAGCTGAGATTGGACACACTGACAGACAGTAGTAGTAGTAGTAGTAGTAGTAGCAGTAACAACAATTTAATATTCATAATAAATAATCGTAAGCATTTCAATTGGAACATTTGTGAAGAGTGGTCAACATTTGTTTTGGCTAAATCAATAATTAGTGTAACTGTTAAAATTTTCCTATTTGCCCCTGCCCCCCTTTGAGTCCAAAGCTGGTACGCCCATGGCTATAGATTTTCACAAACGTTTTACTTCGTAACATATGTTTCTCTACAACACTAGCTTCTTTAAACTAATTGATTTTGTAATACCTACCTCCATATCTAAAGATTTAAGGGTTGGAAGTCAGTTTAAATAAATTCAAATGTGGGGAGCCGTTACCTTCATCTTGGTCATTTTAAACTAATCCTAGATTCTAAAAATCCTAAATGTATTTTTTTAAGATTTTGTAAGTGTTAGTGTTAGTATTTGAAAGAAAAAGAGAATAGAGGACTCTATGAAAGTTAATAAGACATAGGCATGAACGACTAGTCAGAGACATATTAGAGGCAGAAACCGGAAAGAAGAATAGAGGTAGACCTAGATTAGATTACTGTTCGCAAATAGTTCGCAATGTGGGATGTTCTAGTTTTAGAGAAATGCGAAGATTAGCTCAGGATAGGAAAGGGGAGTTGCGTGTCCAATCAGTCTTAGGACTGACGACGTTATGATGATGATAATAGGAGTGTTAATTTCTAATTTAATTTAATTTCTAAATTTAACGGTAAATACTTTCCTAAATTTAATAGATATAAATAGTATGAAAGTTATTGTTTTAATAATAGTTCGCTTTTTACAATGTCATCTGACTACGAAAATGGAATCAATGAACTGTTACGATCCTGCTGAAATGCGTCATCGGACCTAAAATATCTGCACGGAAAGCATACTAAGTGAACCAAAATTTATAGAGCCGATTTTCGGTAAAATTCACGCTTAATTCGGCAGGCTTTTCTATGCTGCTAAGTCTGATAATAACTGCGGCTTTAAATATACAACAATCAATGAGGATGAAAGAGGGAAATGTTTGGAGTAAGTTTCACTTCACTAAATTCTTCAAACAGGTCAAAGAGAGAAGTAGTAAATTATTATAATATAAGTTATATTATTATGTATCCTCCTTTGAAATACAATTTTTAATTATTAAAATTGTAATAAATTCTGAAACAGCAACATTCTTTGCCATAACAGACAACAACAACGAAATAAATAGATTTGACTTGATACAGACTTTTAGCACTATGCGTCCACAAATCAGTGAAGTGTTCTAAAGACTTATAATGGAAAGAACTACAGAATGGGCTTTAGTTTTCCCATTAAAAACTTCTTTGTTTACCATGAAACACTCGTCCCAGCCGACCATAGTAAAACCTCGGGATTATACCACCAAAAAGAAATCCAAAACAAAAGATTCGACAAAATCTAATCGTTTGGGTATGAGACGCGGTTCAAGTTTGTCAGAACTGGACAAGATATCCGTCCAGCAACAGTTACCGGACATAGTGAGGTCCACGACGTCTTCGTCTCAAAAACTGAGCGTTAGTCCACACTCGGTCCCACACAGTCCTTATTTGACACGCTCCTTTCAAGGAAGCGGTCAACTGCGATGTGGTAGCAACAGCTCCAACGTAAGGGACAGCTTTGGAGACCTGATGAACATGAAAACGTTCGGAAGCAGTCAGTGGAGTGTGAGGAGTGAGTCGTTGATAGCAAAAACTGTCCCCCTTTCTACTGTTACTCCACGACAGTCTCCGAAGCATTTTTCTGATAGGACATGTTCGCTGGAAGTGTTGGAGGTCTCCGTGGAGGAATTGACTCAAGAGGGAGGACCGCTAACGACAGCACAGAGGACAAAAAGGTTCACGAAGCTGTTGAAACAGCACCAGGATGTTTCCCTCAATGAATGTGAATGCTGCTGTTTGATGGTATGCTTTTGTTTGTTTTGTAAGATATCATTGATAAGTTTGAAATACGGTTCTTGATCATCATCATAAGGTCGTCAGTCCTAAGACTGGTTGGACATGCACTTCCACTCTTTCATATCCTGAGTTAATCTTTGCATTTCCCTAAAATAAGAACAACCCACATCCTTAACTATCGGGTTGTTCGGAAAGTTATTTCGTTTTTTTTCCGACAGAGGATTTAATTGTATTCCTTTGCACCCAACTTCACATTTAAGCCGTATAATTTTTATATGCCTTGAGAGCTCATATAGCAAGGCTTGTGTGTGAAAAATCCCAATTAATTCTACGCAGTAGTTTTTGTTTGGTGTCCTTTTAAATATGGAGAGCGATAAGCAGCATTTTCGACATATCTTACTGTTTTACTACAGAAAGGGTAAAAATGCTGTTCAAGCCAGAAAGAAATTGACTGATGTGTATGGAGAAACGCCAGTGCCAGAACTGGTTCGCTAAATTTCGATCCGGCAATTTTGATGTCGAAGATGCACCACGTTCGGGAAGGCCGATTGAAGCTGATAAAGACGCGATAAAGGCATTAGTTGATGTGAACCGGCGAATAACAACACGTGAGATCGGATTGAGGTTAAATTTATCAAATTCAACAGTTTATGACCACTTGAAAGGCCTGGGATTATCCTCGAAGCTCGATGTATGGGTTCCCCATGTTCTCACAGAGAGAAATCTGTGTCGCCGCATTGACGTCTGCGATTCGCTTCTCAAACGTCACGAAAATGATCCGTTTTTGAAGCGCATCATCACTGGGGACGAAAAATGGGTTGTATACAACAACGTCAAACGCAAGAGGTCATGGAGCAAAAAAGATGAACCGGCTCAAACCATTTCCAAAGCCGATATTCACCAAAAAATGGTGATGCTGTCTGTTTGGTGGGATTTTAAAGGAATCGTTTTTTTTGAGCTTTTACCGGATAACACAACGATTAATTCGGAAGTCTACTGTCATCAGCTGGACAAACTGAATGATGCACTTCAACAGAAAAGGTCAGAACTAATCAACAGGAAAGGTGTAGTGTTTCACCAAGACAACGCGAGACCTCACACAAGTTTGGTCACTCGCCAAAAGCTTTTACAGCTTGAATGGGATACAATGCTACACCCACCATATTCTCCAGACCTGGCACCATCGGATTATTATTTGTTCCGGTCACTCCAAAATGTTTTAGACGGTAAAACCTTCACCTCAAATGAGGAGGTCAAAAACCTCCTCGATCAGTTTTTTGCCAGCAAAGACCAAAAATTTTATGAGCGTGGAATTATGCTACTACCAGAAAGATGGCAAAAGGTGTTGGACCAGAACGGTCAATATATAATTTAATAAAGTATTTGTTTATTATACGAAAACTGTCTTTCATTTCCACAAAAAAAAAAACGAAATGACTTTCCGAACAACCCTATATTTGCGAACAGTTGTCTAATCTTGGTGTACCTCTACTCCTCTTAACTCCTGCTTATGCCTCTAATATGTCTCTCACTGGACCTTCATGCCTGAGAAGGTGTTCTATCAACCTGTATGAAAGGCGACGGGAAACCACCACATTATTATATCCCGAGTACATTTTACTCTTACAACTCTGCAAGTTAAATGATGACGTAATCTGGAGTAAAGCACTCCGCACGGAAACTAGTCCCCCATTTGGATGTCCGGGCGGGGATTATCTCGGGGGATGTCATCAATAAGTGCAATAGGGGAAGGTGCAATAGTCAGAAAGTGGCATGTTAGGACAATGTGGCAAGTAGGGAAATCACAAACTTTGAATATGAACGGTGGACACGGCGGAAATGAAAAGGTTGGAAACTCCAGTGATTTACTATTACACACATTTTCCCCAAGTCAATACATATATTTGTTGGCATGCGATCTCTCGCTTTCATCTGATGATTGATTGTATTTTAAAAATCGAGACAGCATCAAATTTCCTTAACTTGATGGCTCCTTATATGTGTATATAAAAGGAAATCTTAAACTAAAGTAGTAATTGAATTAACCAATGAAAATGCAGCTAGGTAATGTTTAATAGCAGGTCATTCATTAAACAGTTAAACACTTAAGATTTATTTATTAGAGTAATTATAATTAAAAATCCGTTAAAATGTTCTACCATTAATAATAATAAAGTACGTCAGTATCCACTCTAATTTTCTACAGAATGTATTCGGAAAATTTAACTTTTAAGTTATTCAGAACGAGTGGATAACCGATTTTATAAAATTACCTCTGCGGTTTCAATTTTAAGTTTAATTTTAGACTTCATAATCATTTGGAAACATCCAAGGCAGGTAATTCTGTTTCTCGAGAAAATTTTCCTCTTGCTCGATGCGATTTGTTCTAATATTCGTAGATGCTCTAATATTAAAATAATCATGCCTGAAAGCTGCACTGGCATCTCTCCGAGATTATAATCTGTAAATTTTTGTTATCTCATTGTTTTACATCTGCTTGCACGGTTCACCGAAACCGTGCTAAATAGTAAATTCCCGGAAGTATCAGCATATTAGTAAGTAAGTGGCTGATGGAGTTTGTACAATATTACAAACTTTCCGGGATGCGCAATTTTAGTTAAACAACACCCTTATTAAACTTTCATGACCGCAAAGAATAAGTGCTAATATGATTAGTAAATTTCTAATTACACAAAGAACGGAATGCGATGTAAATCTACTAAATAGGTTTCAATAATTTTCTTTCGGGAATTTAAGATTAGAATAGGATTCTATAGCATCAATTCAAGTTACAACTTATCGATTCGTTTTCCCTATTTTCCAAGTTCGACGAAGGAAACGTAGGTGGCACTACGTTGTCGTTTATAATAATAGAGAAAATACACGTTTGCGTGGAATGAGACCGGAGATATGGTGGTACAGAAGCAAAAATAATCCTTTTTAGCCATATGACCCCAACCCCTTCATCATGAAGGAGCAGTAGTTTTTGAGAAATATAAAAAATAAGTTTTCAGCTTATTCTACCGGTTGTTTACTTACAATCTGAATTCATCCCAATACATAGCTTTAATAGGAAACTGTTTTCTTGTTGTGGGGTTCTAAATTCAGATTTTAAACATGACCAGATGCTTCTGAAACACTCTGTATAAAATGATGGACATAGGGAAACCTTTTGTTACCATAACGTAGATGAAACAACAATTTTAATTTAGAATAAAAGCTTAGTTATGGGAAAGTCTTTCCTACCTCTGCCTGTTCCTTACTCTTTTTTATGCTATAGGGTTGTTCGGAAAGTCATTTCGTTTTTTTTTGTGGAAATGAAAGACACTTTTCGTATAATAAACAAATACTTTATTAAATTATATGACCGTTCTGGTCCAACACCTTTTGCCATCTTTCTGGTAGTAGCATAATTCTACGCTCATAAAATTTTTGGTCTTTGCTGGCAAAAAACTGATCGAGGAGGTTTTTGACCTCCTCATTTGAGGTGAAGGTTTTACCGTCTAAAACATTTTGGAGTGACCGGAACAAATAATAATCCGATGGTGCCAGGTCTGAGAATATGGTGGGTGTAGCATTGTATCCCATTCAAGCTGTAAAAGCTTTTGGCGAGTGACCAAACTTGTGTGAGGTCTCGCGTTGTCTTGGTGAAACACTACACCTTTCCTGTTGATTAGTTCTGACCTTTTCTGTTGAAGTGCATCATTCAGTTTGTCCAGCTGATGACAGTAGACTTCCGAATTAATCGTTGTGTTATCCGGTAAAAGCTCAAAAAAAACGATTCCTTTAAAATCCCACCAAACAGACAGCATCACCATTTTTTGGTGAATATCGGCTTTGGAAATGGTTTGAGCCGGTTCATCTTTTTTGCTCCATGACCTCTTGCGTTTGACGTTGTTGTATACAACCCATTTTTCGTCCCCAGTGATGATGCGCTTCAAAAACGGATCATTTTCGTGACGTTTGAGAAGCGAATCGCAGACGTCAATGCGGCGACACAGATTTCTCTCTGTGAGAACATGGGGAACCCATACATCGAGCTTCGAGGATAATCCCAGGCCTTTCAAGTGGTCATAAACTGTTGAATTTGATAAATTTAACCTCAATCCGATCTCACGTGTTGTTATTCGCCGGTTCACATCAACTAATGCCTTTATCGCGTCTTTATCAGCTTCAATCGGCCTTCCCGAACGTGGTGCATCTTCGACATCAAAATTGCCGGATCGAAATTTAGCGAACCAGTTCTGGCACTGGCGTACTGTCAACACACCTTCTCCATACACATCAGTCAATTTCTTTCTGGCTTGAACAGCATTTTTACCCTTTCTGTAGTAAAACAGTAAGATATGTCGAAAATGCTGCTTATCGCTCTCCATATTTAAAAGGACACCAAACAAAAACTACTGCGTAGAATTAATTGGAATTTTTCACACACAAGCCTTACTATATGAGCTCTCAAAGCATATAAAAATTATACGGCTTAAATGTGAAGTTGGGTGCAAAAGAATACTTGATAATGTTCACAAACGCTTTTTTATTTTATTAGAGAATAGGATTATGTTATTGGTACGTAATTTTACAATATAGTTGCACATTACTTGTGACTTCGTAAAAGTTGATTCCGAAGCTGAATCTAATAAAAAAAATGACATACTGCCTTACAAATACACATTCGATCAGAGGTTTTCTACTACAGCACAGAATGCCAAATGATGTGCAATGAATTGCGTCTAGAGGTGTAGAACATCCTTATTTGCGACAGCGTGCTTTGTGAACTGTGAGGATAACTGAAAATCGGTACTTAACCTAAGCGTCATGTGTAGCATTATCTATTCGACCTGTTCCTTTATTGCACGTTTTTCTTTTTTCTCGGTTCGGATAATCCTTTTTTTTTTACTACTCTACCGTTCGTTTTTGTTTCTCGCTTCCCACCTTTTTGTCTTACTTATCTCGTATACCATATAATGTTATCGCCTTTGTTCCATGGAAGAAGATTGTGAGTTTGC